GCAAATTATAACCTTTTTAACACTTGCAGAAAAATCAGCTACGATTTTCAAAATATTGTTGGTTTCAGGAAAATCCTTACAAATATAAGGTTCTTCAGCACATATTACTCTGATTGCCAGGCCAGGACCTAAAGGGAAAAATAACAATGGTATTTAATATAAACTTTAATATTAAAATGCCACAAATTAAAATCCATCTGTCATCATAGTTATTTTGAAAGTGCTTAATTTCAAATGTAGTTATCAGTTTCCCAGTGAGCTCAACATTTTTTCAGAATGCCTAAATTCTATCAATACTAATGATTTCTACCTCTTGCTTTTGATGTGGTAAGCTTTAAATAAAGTCTCCAGTCAACATTTGTAACTCACAGTATGTGTCTACCTATTTCAAAGTTTATAGTAATTCCTAAATACACACGAAGTAAAGATGATAGTACAATTACATTCACCACCCAGTTTGGACTAATTTTATAAAAAGAATGTTGTTTGAAAAATAATTAGAAAGATAAAAGATATGAACTATTCCTATTAAATCAAATGTGTAAAAGGATAAAAATACAAAATGTACATGGATCCAAGAAAAAATTGCATTCTGTTGCTTCACTAAAACAAAAGACGTATAAACTCGTACAATAGTATCACTTGAAAAGCCCAGACTATAGGTAAAACCATAGTTTTGCCCATTAATTGCTCAGATCCATCCATCCGTCCGTTTGTTTATCCTTATGTTCCTTTATTGAAGGAGCGAGTACAGTGATGTATTTACTAAATATAGAGACCTGTGCAGAGAAATTATATACTACACAAGTTTTGTTATACTTTATGATGGAATAGTTCCATTTATAAAGTTTTATACATCAAAAGCTTTGAATTTGCCCAGGCTGGCCAAGGATTAACTTTTGGAAGTGGCGTTAACTATGTATTATAGCATTTAAAATGCTTATGCATTAGGCAGTTTCTCAAAATGCTTTGTTACACACACAATGGCTGAGTACCACTTGACCTTCCCCTGTATTACATTTTAGGCAACACACATGCTAACGATTAAGCTTAGCTATCTAGATTTGAAGTTTACTGATACAGACAGGTGCCAGTATGGTGGTGAACTTTAAGGTGAAATAATGAACTTGAATCCTGGCTCCACATCTTCTAAATTGCTTAATTTCTTTGCAAATTAGTCTCTGAGCCCAAGTTTTCTCATCTCTCCAAACCCAAACCAAACCAAACTCACTGCCATTGAGTTGATTCTGACTCACAGCAACCCTGTAAGATGAAGTAGAATTGCTCCTGTGGGTTTCTGGAGCTGTAAATTCCTACAGAAACAGAAAGCCTCATCTTTCTTTTATAGAGCAGATACTGATTTTGAACTGCTGACCTTACAATAACAGCCCAACTCAGAACCCACTATGTCACCAGGGCTCATTTCCTCATCTCAAACACAAGATAATAGTTGTTTTCATATTGAAGATAAAATGAGGCAATGTATATAAAATATTTAGCAAAGTACCTAGCTGGTAGAACAAGTACTCAAGAAATGTTAGCTATTAGAGTTCTGAAATTTTTTTAATTAGGACATTCTCTCAACTCTCTATCTAATCACTACAATAGAAAATTTGAAATTAAAGTACTTTACCTACAAGAGCATAACTTTTGTTGTTTAAAGTTAGGACCAAGGGTTTGAATCTTGTGACTCCAGTTGGAGCCCTTGCTGACAATTTCTGATACTCTGAATCAGATCATACACCTTAACAAGCTCCCTAGCAAAGACTCACCTATGGATTTGATCCAACTTATCCAGGAAGGAGAAACAAATATCTCAGCAGGGAGCCAAAGCCCTAGCAAGTAATTCAAGGTCTAACTTTAAACAAGTATCTCTTTTAATCAATTTTTTCTATGTGATAGTAGATGACTATTTATAACTTCTATTAATTCAACAATTCCATACAGCATTATGTAAACACAAGTCAGCCAGATAACATAGTTCAAAGAACTTGCAAAGACATATTGAGATCATGGAAAAGACCAAACAAACCTACGCTCTACTGCTAAGAAATGGGAGGCAATGTTATTAAAATATCTCTATGTCCTGGTTTTCTCACTTTATGGCACATAGTCTCTCAGGGATGGTGTAATATTTAATTTAAAATACTAAACAAATTGAGTAAAAAACTGTATATACAGTAAGCACTAAAAAATGTACACGTAGTCTCCCCTAACTCCTTTGTGTTGCGCTACATATATCCTGAGATGGCAAAAATACTTCAAAATTATGTAAATTGATTTTCTTTAATAAAGTCATATGACAAACCAAAGTAATTCAATTATTTTCTCTACCTGGAAATGGATGCCTCGAAACTAATTCTTCTGGAAGTCCAAGTTCTCTGCCTAAAATTCTTACTTCATCTTTATGAAAATCTTTCAGGGGTTCTATTACTTTTCCCTGAAAGGAAAAAAATGCCAATCAATACAAATTAGCAGCCAACATGACATAGAAAACAATGGTAATTAATTACTAACTTTTCCTGTTATCTTTGTCCTTAATGTAAAAACAAGAAATATGACTTGATTGCTCATTATAAAAAATACAGATCAATACACACTGCTAAAATATAAACATGGTGACTGTAATCTTAGAACAATGATAAATTCATAATTCACCAAAATGGTGTTTAGCATGAAATATGAAAATAGTAAGAACAATTCCCATGATATAGAAAAGAGTATTATTAAAATATACCTTTTAAAGTTTCTCCTGTGTGGTTATAAGGAATCAGACAAATATTTCAATGTCTTCTTAGTTCTCCTTAAAGCATCATTCACTTATTTGGAACATCTTTTAAATATACGAGGGGGTACCTCCTCCCCCCAAAAAAAAACGATTCCTCCAACCCCCGCAAAGCTATGTCTAAAATTTTTTTTTAACAAAACAACCTTCAAGATACTCTCCATTACACTTGATATAGTCTGACCCACCGTGGAACTAATTTCAAGTGTACTATCCACCTCACAGCATAGAAAACCAAATGATCACAGTCTTGATCTTTGATTTCACTTGATGAGCTTTTTTGAGGAGCGGTGGTGATGGCATCTTCCAATGGCTTGACTGATGTTTGCTTTTACAGCCCTAACAATAGCACCATGTCTCATCCCCAGTAATGGCCTTAAGAAAAAAGTCTGGGTCACTCCCAAGCTGTTCTTTCAAAGCACAGCATGTTTCCACTCGATGCTCTTTTTCCCGCTCAGAACCAAGGCACAATTTCACAGCTACCCTTTTCTTTCCTTAACCTTCCACTAAAAATCGCTGAACTGAGCTCCGACATAGTCCAGATAACTTCCCCATCTCTTCAATAGTCCACTGTCGATCTTTGAGGACAAGTACACGAATTTTATCAACATTTTCGTCCGCCTGGAAGTTGACGAATGTCCAGAATGAGGTTTGTCACTGACATTTAAACTTTTTTGAAATGAGAAAACCACTCATACACTTGAGTTTTTCCCATAGCGCTATCCTTGTGTTCAACATCTCAACAGTTTCTGCCGCATTTTTCCCAAGCAGGAAACAAAATTTTACAGTC